ACACGTTGTGTCTGTGGTTGTATAAGTGCCTGGAAAACCCATCTCTTTTTTTAAAATGTATTTATTTTAGGGAGGGAGACAATTCAAAAGAAGTTTGGCAACAGATAGTAAAAGAACAACTTGCATCAAATTCCCATTTTACTCTGAAGCGTGAGGAAGGATGTAATTTCCTGCTACACATCTTGATACATGAGATTTATATTCTTTGATTGGGTTTTTATACTGTTTTAGTGTGATCACGACCAGTCACAGAGACATTTTTAATTCTATTCTCTTTTGTGAGAATAGAGTCAAGGAGTGAAGGGGGAATTCTCTGTGGCTATTCAAGCCTTCAATTAGATTAGAATACATCAACATTGGTATTATGAGGTGGGGGAAAAGGCCTTTAGTAAGTTTAAGGTTTCACCTTCATTTTGCTTTTTACTCATCACATGCAATTTGTACCCGTGGTATTGAGAGTGCTCCACTAGTAGACATGTAACCTTTTTTCCCCTGATGAGCAAGGATATTTGGCTCCTGTCCTAAGAGAGTATAGGATAAATCCTATCCCAGATAGCAGTTGTTCCTATTATTACTGTAGTAAGAAATTAAATTCTATAGCTTTAGGGTGGTTGAAATGCTATTTAGGCATTCTGTGGAAATGTTCAATGAATTTGAAAGAGGAAAGAGCAAAACCCAGCAACTCGTTTCCCCCTTTTGAGGACAAACATGGAACAAGGCTGCTCCATACACCCTCAATCTGCCCTTGAGAAAGGTTAAGAGGGGGCAGCAGATTTCACATGGTTGTCTTCACTCGCTTGCAGATTCATTGAGCACTTAAAAAAAAAATCCACCAAATGTTACTATAGTTCCCTTGACATCAAGAGGCAAATCTGTTATCTTTAGAATGACCATATCACAACTATGTTTTAGTAGATATGAAATAAGGCGGGTAAATGCATCACCACTGTGCCCATTATAAGTAATTTTTTTTTCCAGTAAGCAAAAGTGAATGAAATTAAAAATCTGTAACAATTTAATTTTTGAGCTCATCAAACTGGAGCTGATCTTTTTAATTTTCAACAGAAATCACTCAACATTGACAAAATGGTTTTTGTGATGAAAATGTAAAACCATGTACTCTTGCATTTTGCTTAGGGAGTTGTTTATTCATATCTGTTTCACAGTTGAAACAGCACAGTAAACAAGAGAAGGACATTCAAAATAGGACTACGGATCTGTGCATAGCAATATAAATTGCCTGTTTCTATATTTGTATTTGAATTAAAATATGCATATACAAACACGCAGTTGATGAATTTTAAGTGATTTTACTGTTTTGTGTATGTATACCCATATTGCTGCTAAGTAAATTACCTTTTACCAAGTATAATTAGTTCCAAGGACAAAGTATAGGCTTAAATAAACAAATGTGTGCCGTTTCCTAATAACAGTACTAGATTTTGATTAAACATTTGCTTCATGATGTCTTCTGTGCTGCAACTGAGAATGTATGCATGGGTTCCTTTTTTAATATTTATTCGTTTATTATTTATTTATTTATTTATTTATTTATTTAAATTTAGAGGCCCCCAGCTCCAAGTGTCTCTGGGCGTCATGAATATATGGAAAACTTACATAAGAAAAACAACCAACAGTGACTCAACATTCACCCTAGTTCCAGGGCCTGGGGGATCAGCCAGGTCCTCAAAGATTTTAGGAATGCCATCAGGGTGGGAGCCATATGTATCTCTGGGGGAATGATGTTCCAGAGGACAGGCCCCACGACAGAGAAGGCGTCCTAAATCTAGCGTCCTAGGTTTAATAGGTAACACTGTTTAATTGAAAGGACCCAGAGTGCATCCACATAGAACAAACTACAATAACATTCAATCCACTGACAGTTATTTTGATTCCTACTTATGTGGCTCATGTAAAGTGACCAGATTTCCAAGAATAAAAACCAGAACATGTTAGTTTGTATAATTGTATACATGTGTTAATGTTAATCCATAACTCAGTTACCCAAGAGTCCTGGGAAAAAATTATAGCAGCAGGAACTGCAAAAACAACAACTAGAAGCTAATATTTAGAAGAGCATTTCAGTAAATAAGTAATTTTCAGTCATTTCAAACACTTCCTGTTTGCTACTGTACTTTTAAATTATGTGCAAAGCAAGAGTCACCCTTGTCACTTCTTACCATAATTTGCTGTGTTTAACTCTCCTGCTATCTGTTGATCATCTGGATTTTTGCAGTCAACATATGTCAGTGTTGTCCAAAGTTGGCCACTTTAAGATAAGTGGACTTCAACTCCCAGAATTCCCCAGCT